TGGTGTGTAGTGTGTGGCAAACAGTTTGTAACACAGAGTATTTTAAAAATACACCTGAGGATACACACTGGAGAGAAACCGTACAGTTGTAAAGTGTGTGGAAAGACATTTAGGAGTAACGGTCAACTCAACAGACATGAGAAGGTACACACTGGAGAGAAACCTTACAGTTGTTTAGTGTGTGGACATTTTTTTTTAACAAATACCTTGCTACAAGAGCATATGAGGAGACATACTGGAGAGAAACCATACAGTTGTTTAGTGTGTGGGAAAAAGTTTTCCAGAAATTTCTATATGCAACAGCATATGAGGATACACACCGGAGAGAAACCGTACAGTTGTATAGTTTGTGATAAAAGATTTAAGACTAAAAGTCATCTTAATACACATAAGAAGATACACACTGGTGATAAACCATACAATTGTTTAGTGTGTGAAAAATACTTTTCAACAAATACCTTGCTACAAGAGCATAAGAGGATACATACTGGAGAGAAACCTTACATTTGTGTAGTGTGTAATAAAGGATATCGAAGCAATTGTCTCCTAAAACGACATGAGAAAGTACATACTAAGGAGAAACCATACAGTTGTTTAGTTTGTGAAAAGAAATTTAGAAGTAAAGGAGAACTCAAAAGACACGAGAAAATGCACACTGGAGAGAAACCTTACAGTTGTTTAGTGTGTGGAAAAAATTTTTTAACAAATACTTTGCTACAAGAGCATGTGAGGATACACACTGGAGAGAAACCATATAGTTGTGTGGTGTGTGGGAAAAAGTTTTCCACAAATTCCTATAAACAACAGCATATGAGGATACACACTGGCGAGAAACCTTATAGTTGTATAGTTTGTGATAAAACATTTAAGACTAAAAGTCATCTTAATACACATAAGAGGATACACACTGGTGATAAACCATACAATTGTTTAGTGTGTGAAAAAAAATTTTCAAGAAGTACCTTGCTTCAAGAGCACATGAGGATACACACTGGAGAGAAACCGTACATGTGTTTAGTGTGTGGCAAAAAATATGGAAGAAGCAGTCATCTTAAAACTCATCAAAGGACACACACTGGAGAGAAACCATATACTTGTTCAGTGTGTGGGAAAAATTTTGTAGCAAATACTAATTTAAAAATACATCTGAAAACACACACTGGGGAGAAACCTTACCATTGTGTAGTGTGTCGTAAAGGATTTCTAAACAACAGTCATTTAAAACTACATGAGAGAGTACATACTGGAGAAAAACCATACAGTTGTGTAGTTTGTGATAAAGCA